TTTTAGCTATGAATAAATGATGCACTGTCGTTTATTAAACGCTTCTTGGGCTTTAAATAGAGAATATTAGAGATAATAATTGTGTTGAGTAATGGTGGTTGGCAGCCCTGAGTTGAGGAGTCAGAGGAGTGACGCTTCATCATCACGTTCAACATTACAACATTATTTTCTGCTTCTGGAAGCCTCCAGAACCCTCTGCTACTTCCACTCGAGACGGACGCATTATTTCACTAGTCACTGGTGAGTATATATACCAGGAGGAGCTGAGGGAGACACATATAGTGAAGCAGAAGTGACCTGGAGGTTTTGCCTTGTCTTAAGTCACCAAATATCAATTTTTTATATTTTTGTAGTTTTAGTCGCCATATATTTTGTGTTCTGTCTGCTGGATAACTTTCCATCGTCCCGAAACACTCGTCTGGCTTAATATTGGTAAGTTTTGACTGTTATTATTATAAGTTAGACAATACGTCACTGACTAGGATTATTATTAATAATAAAAATAATAATAATTATTTCTACAAGTATATAATACATCATAATTTACATTAATATATGATAATTACACTTTTTTTCAGATCAGAACATTGTCATTATTTTCCCTCTGCTAAGTCTCAATTATTTGTATATTGTTCCAGATTTACTAATTATTTATTGAACAGATTATTAAAAAGAGGAAATTCTTTTGTATTTTTCAAGTAATGTCTTTCAGAAAGATTTATAATGAAAATTTTGATAATAATTAAAATGTTTCTTTTTGGAGCTCTAGTATTTTTTTTTTTATGGAATATAGGTATTTTTTTTATTGAAATATCTTCTATATAAGCTAACTTATAAACAATATTTAAAGGATATATCAAAATTAATACATTTAAGTTTTGAATCCTGTAGCTTTTAATTACCATTCATTAAGGTAATCACATTACCTATATAATACAAACTGTAAAACTAACACTGTAATGAATTTCAGATTTTAGGCTTTGAGTACATTCATCATGTCTGAAGAAAGAAGCTTAAGTGTCAAGGTCTACCTGGATGTTGGTGGAGGTCGACAAGAAGTGCGAAGGTTCGCCCTTCCTGAGAACTTAGCCACAAACTATCGCTGCTTGAAAGAAAAAGTCTCTTCCGTATTTGCCCTTGGAAACAAGGATTTAACCATTACTTGGAAAGGTAAGAAAGATTTGCTATGTGCAGTATTTAATCTGGAGGATACGTGTTCACTTGTGTCCCCTCAAGGAAGGTTCCTTGATGTTGGTGAGGGGCTCTTGATTTAGGGAATTGGATCTGTGCTCCAGTTCCCTGAATTAAGCCTGAATGCCTTCCACATGCCCCCCCCTAAGTGCTGTATAATCCTCCAGGTTTAGCGCTTTCCCCTTGATTATAATAATAATGTTCACTTGTGTATTATGTTTTATTTATATATTTTTTATACTAAATGTTGTAAATCTAATTCTGTGACCTATTCTTTTTCATGGTAAAATACAAATTTATTCATAGGATTTCATGCTAATTTGTACTATATATCAAAATTGTGTTCTGAGCACCTCTGCAAAAACAGTGATTATGTGTGAGTGAGGTGAAAGTGTTGAATTATGATGAAAGTATTTTCTTTTTGGGGATTTTCTTTCTTTTTGGGTCACCCTGCCTCGGTGGGAGACGGCCGACTTGTTGAAAAAAAAAAAATATACAGCATGCTTGAAAAATTTTCATTTTTAGATGACAAAACTTCAAGTGGAGAGGGAATTATTGTTTCTTAATCTTTTTCCTGTAAATATTCTACTTTTATACTTAAGAGGCCTCTTTCAAGACCAAGTCACATGGGACAATGACTCCTGAAACTGTTAGCAGATATGGCATTCATATACAAAGAAAACAAGCTTGGGTGCATGTGCATGAATTGCTACCTTCACTAAAATATACATGTAATTGTGCACACGCATACTAATTTTATTGTTGATTTTCAGATGCTGAAGGTGACATGATTGTAATCTCATCAGATGATGAACTGATGGAGGCTCTTGCTGACACCCTGAGCAAGCAGAATCTCCAACTGCTGCGGCTCAACGTGACAGTTGGGACCAGGCCTGATGTGGGGCCTAAGAATTCAGGTATATTATATACTCCCTCTCCTCACTTAATGACAGAGATAAGGACCTAAGACCCCATCGGTAAACGAATTCGTCGCTAAGCAAGGAGCATACGGTAATGGTAGTGGATTTGTCATCTATCGTTGATATTGTTTTAATGTCACCTTTGCACCATTTATAATATTTCTGGTATATTATTAAATGTTTATACAGCAGTATACTGTATATTGTAATAAACAGAATTGAGGAAATTAGCTCTAATATACATTATTTAGGTATAAATGCTGGTCAGAGAGCCCATCATAAGTCCGAGGTGTCAGTAAACGAGTACATCGCTAAGTGAGGAGAAGCTGTACAGTATGTGCGTACACATCACATACATAGACTTGCTGTGTTCTGTCACATATAAGTCAAAATATTGTACTTGGCTAAGTAGTTTATACAGTACAGAACTAGTCTTGTTTTGTGTTTATCTGACAGTTATTACATTACAATAGCCTGCAGGGGAAGGGCAGAGTACTCCTGATCCAAGGAGTTGAAGCTTCTTTTTCCCTCGTCAGATTAAACCTGAATAACATTCAGCCCATTTTCATACAGGTTTAGTGCTTTTGTTTGAATATTATAATAAAACATCAAGATAATAACATCTTTCCTAGAAATGTTTATCAGTTATTATTATGATAGACAGTAGAGAACAGACCTTCATTCTGTGCTATATTTCACTCTGGGTAGAGTTTTATTAAGCCCTAACTTGCACCCAAAGTTATTGGCAGTTTGGAGGGATATGTTGTGTATCTTTATACGTATATGCTTCTAAACTGTTGTATTCTGAGCACCTCTGCAAAAACAGTGATAATGTGTGAGTGTGGTGAAAGTGTTGAATGATGATGAAAACGTTTTCTTTTTGGGGATTTTCTTTCTGTTTTGGGTCACCCTGCCTCGGTGGGAGACGGCTGACTTGTTGGGAAAAAAAAAAAACTTGCACCCAAAGTGCAATAGTCTATAATGATTTGCTCTGAACCAAGTTTGGTTTTTACCACATTTGTCAGCAATGTCTGCCATCCTTTTTTTTTTTTTTTTTTTTTTTTTTTTTTTTTTTTTTTTTTTTTTTTTTTTTTTTTTTTTTTTTTTTTTTAGCAAATAGGGTAAACACAACATTAGAGTATAAGCACTGAAATATAGATTGCATATATATTTTTAACAGACCTCTGTCCTAACACCTTCCACCCATTCATGTTTACTTCAACATTGAAGAAGTGCAGCTTTTGGAGACAACAATGGTTTTTTTTTTTTTTGTTCAGGTAATCAGGAAGGAGTCCTTCATGAAGGGGTGGTGTGTGATGGATGTGAGGGACCCATCCGTGGATTCAGATACCGCTGTGTCAGCTGTGAAGATTTTGATCTGTGTGGTGCCTGTGAAGTGAAGGGCCTGCATAAGGAGCACAAGATGATGCGCATGTCTAAACCACATGTGAAGGTGAGAAATGTCAGTCTTTGTACAAAGGTAGATGTGTATAGGGTAGGGGTATCAGAGTTATGGCTTTAACTATGATTCCTTTTTGTCTTTTGTTTATTATTGTACTCTTTCATTGCTTCAGGGATCTCCTTGGTTCTTCTGGAGGGAATCTGAAGATTCACCTGGAAATTTCACTTCACACTTTGGTGTACAAGGTAACAATGGATCAACTTGCTTTAGCTCAAGTGCAACATCTGGTACTGGCACAGGTCCTGGTACAGGTGCTGGTGCTGCTGGGTGGACCTCCTGGGGTGGCCCTGGTTTTCGCCATGCCCATAGACGAGGATGTGCAGGAAGGGGACGTGGAGGATGGGGAGGATGGTGGGGCAGAAATTGGGGTGGTAAAAGTGGAGGAGGATGTGAACAAGGACAGTCAATGTTTTCTGGTTTTGGGCAACAGTACCAACATCAGCAGCAACATCATCAGCAGCACCAGCAGCAACATCAACAGCACCAGCAACAACAACAGCAGCACCAGCAACAACAACAACAGCAGCAGCAACAGCACCAGCAAAGTCAGGAACAGGGAAACCAAAATAGCAACACACATACTGAATTTCCCTGGGCAAACAACACCTGCCCTTTCATGGCTGGAGAATGTAGTCCCCAGCAGATGGCAGAAGATGCTCAGAAAATAGCTGAAGATGCTCAGAAGATGGCACAAGAAGCTGCACATCATGCACACGAGTTTGCTTCACAAATGGCCTCAGAACATGTTGCCAATGTAATGCGTGGTATCTGGACTGCTTGGACTGGTCATCAGGGCCCTGGCCAACAGGGACCTGGTCTTAAAGCATCTTCAAGTTCTTCTTCTTCTTCAAGCTCTTCATCATCAAGCTCTAGTGGAGATTCCCCACAGCAAAAATCAAAAGAGCCCAAGGGACGTGAAGGTCAGCAGCAGAAAGACGTTAGCATGGAAGCTAATCAGACTACTGGTGAAGAGTACCTGAGGAATGTTGGCGAGACTGTTGCAGCAATGTTGGATCCTATTGGTAAATATTCAAATTCTTTTTTCTTTGGTTTATGCTAATTACCTTTCCTGGGAGCATGGGGATTCTTTATCTTGCTATATACAGTAAGTTAGATGGTCTTAGTCTGTTAAAAAAAAAATTTCTAAAGAAGCAAGGAGATACGTTTTCCCATTAATGGTTCTAAACCCCTGAGTTTAGTGCTTCTATATAATTTAATGCAAGTTTGTCTACATAAATACAAGCTTGCAGATGTACATACAATACACCTATGCACATATGCAGTCACAACATATAAAATGCTTTGGGGCATAGGTATAATGGATAAGAGTATTATATTTAGGGGAAGCATTAAACCCATAGGGGTCATGCAGCACTCTGGAAATGGGAATCAATCAAGTTCAGTCCAAGATAGCCTTTTACCCAAAAAGTAACTAGAATAAGAGGACATTGACACTACACACTCAGAGAAGCCATAGAGGATGTACACGAACACTTTTTTAACATGCAAGTGATGAATAAGTAAGAATGAATTCGACAGTGATACAATTTAAGCCAACACAAAGCAAATCGGTCATTTACAAGAGTCAAAGCCAAAAGCTGGAAGTCGCCACTCAAGCTTAGATTAGTAATTCCACTCATACAGGGATATCAGAAAAAATTTCTTCAGCTCTGGTAAAAGGTGAAATGAACTGCACATTTGAGTGACAACAGACTCTACAGTGGATAAGAAAATAGTTGGGATATTGATACTTCATATTAATCATATGAAAGTTACCTTCCACTTCTTTAAATGGAAAGTTTCATTATCTTAGCTTTGGTGTCAGTTTCTCCTTGTTCTGAGGATAATATATTCAGCTATTTTACTTTTCCCTTGTTTTGCATGCCCTAGTACTGGTGTAAAAATATAACATTTTTAAAGCTGATTGTTTCTTCATTTAAATTTAGGTCTTACACTGACACTAGTTAATTGGTGCCTAAAAGTTTATCATTAAGTAATAATACATTAGGGCTGATTTTTATTTTTAAAGAGATGCCAGTGTATGACTTGGGTTTTATTAAAAATACCTAAATTTATAAATAATATATTTGTTTAAACCTGTTTTTTTTTTTTTTTAACAGGCATTGATGTCGAAGTGTCTGTAGAGCACAATGGAATTCGCCAGCGCTGCAGTCTAAGCAAGGATGATGTAGAGAATCGTAAGACTCCAACAGTTTTGTTCCCTCCAAGTCCTCCAAAGGAACCAGAGTCACCTGAAAAGTCTTTGGCATCGGAAACTAGTGCAAATATGGAAGTACAGACCGATAGTCCAAGGCCCCAAGGAGGTAATGATGGTGGGGCAGAAATAATGGAAGTAAGCAGCCCTGAAGCAGGACCAAGCCAAAATGCTGGAGATCAAATGGAAGGAGAGCATTCTTCAGACATAGAGGACTGGACACTGGTTAATCAGGATGCCAATTCAGAATCCCAGGGTGGTACCAAACCCAAGTCACCCCCCACTGAAAGGAGAGTTGTTTATCCAGATTTGGCAGTGATTGAAACTCATCCAAGTACGTAACTGATATTAATTTCCTTCATTGTGGCATTATAAAAGTTGATGGGGTAAAATGTTGTTGACACTGTCCCTGTGCCCATTACCACATGCTTTTCATAGAGGTGGGCTCCTACAGTCACCCAAGATTGTTCTTCCGTAAAAATATTTTTTTTTTTTTTTTTTTTTTTTTTATTATCACACCGGCCGATTCCCACCAAGGCAGGGTGGCCCGAAAAAGAAAAACTTTCACCATCATTCACTCCATCACTGTCTTGCCAGAAGGGTGCTTTACACTACAGTTTTTAAACTGCACATTAACCACCCCTCCTTCAGAGTGCAGGCACTGTACTTCCCATCTCCAGGACTCAAGTCCGGCCTGCCGGTTTCTGAATCCCTTCATAAATGTTACTTTGCTCACACTCCAACAGCACGTCAAGTATTAAAAACCATTTGTCTCCATTCACTCCTATCAAACACGCTCACGCATGCCTGCTGGAAGCCCAAAAGCCTTCGCACACAAAAACCTCCTTTACCCCCTCCCTCCAAACCTTCCTAGGCCGACCCCTACCCGCCTTCCTTCCCATACAGACTGTACACTCTTGAAGTCTTTTCTGTTTCGTTTCCATTCTCTCTACATGTCCGAACCCCCTCAACAACCCTTCCTCAGCCCTCTGGACAACAGTTTTGGTAATCCCGCACCTCCTCCTAACTTCCAAACTACGAATTCTCTGCATTATATTCACACCACACATTGCCCTCAGACATGACATCTCCACTGCCTCCAGCCTTCTCCTCGCTGCAACATTCATCACCCACGCTTCACACCCATATAAGAGCGTTGGTAAAACTATACTCTCATACATTCCCCTCTTTGCCTCCAAGGACAATAAACTCGAGGAAAAAAATTATCAGAGTATATTTTTAAGATCCTAGGTAGTAGGCTGGTAGACAGCAACTGCCCAGGAAGGTACTACCATCCTGCCAAGTGAATGTGAAACAGAAGCCTGTAATTGTTTTACATGATGGTAGGATTGCTGGTATCTTTTTTTTTTTTTTTTTCTGTCTCATAAACATGCAAGATTTCAGGTACATCTTGCTTCTTCTACTTACCCTTAGGTCACACTACACATGCATGTACAAGCATATATGTACACACCCCTCTGGGTTTTCTCCTTTCTTACTAGCTATTCTTGTTTATTTCCACTTACCTCCATGGGGAAGTGGAACAGAATTCTTCCTCCATAAGCCATGGGTGTCGTAAGAGGCAACTAAAATGCCATTAGCAAGGTGCTAATAACCCTTTCTCCTGTATAAATTACTAAACTTAAAAAGAAACTTTCGTTTTCTTTTTTGGTCACCTGCCTCGGTGGGATATGGCTGGTTTGTTGAAAAAAAATTTAAGATAAGTCGTAACTGATCTTTCCTCTGCAGATCCTGTCATTCAGCGTGCTCTGGAGCAGATGCAGGCTATGGGCTACAACAATGAGGGTGGATGGCTCACCAACTTGCTTGAAATGAAACAGGGAGACATTAACCAAGTGCTTGACCTGCTCCAGCCAGTCAACAAGTAATGTGTCAACTTACATTGAACTTGATGGAAGGCATCATTGTGTATTGGCCAGCTTTCATTGTGTTTACTGTGTTTTCCAATATACTGTAATTAGGTAAAATACTTTTTTTTTTTTTTTAATCTTCATGTATTACTTTAATTTCCTGATGACCTACACATGACAGTCAGAAGTTTGTCAGTGAATGTGTGTATTTATAGTAACTGATCCTTTCATATATAACAAAGAAGAGTTGAAAATACTGGATATTATTACTTTTTAGTTTATAATATACAAATATATTTTCATTTGAAGTTTAGAGATGGTTAGATGTATTGCTAAGGCACTTAATTTTAAATATGCCCTCACAGGAGTGAAAAGGTTCTTTAATATCCATTAATATTAGCATTTGAGAAAATATTTAGCAAAAGATGTAGAATGTAGACATTTGATACTGTCCAGGAACTAGTTAAATTCTGTACTATGTATCCTATTCATAAAAGCTTGTGTAAACTAGTAATTTGTTCTTAATAGGTTGTAAGGTAAAGCTGTCTGTAGTTCTCACATTGAGTGTTCCATAATTCATTGTGACATTTAATACGTGCTAGAGTAGAAAGAATAATATATATTTTTGCTGTGGTATTTTTTGAAGAACTGGCTCTGTTCTCTAGTTCTGTACCAAATATTCAATTAATGTTAGTATATATATAATAGTCATATATTAATGAGGACCTTGTGGCAGTGATCATATTTCTTAATGTGGAGTTGTTACACTGCATTGTATTTTAATGAGAGCAACAATGCTCTTCTAAGGAATATTTAGCCAAATAAAATACTACTATATAGTAATGTTTGTATAGCTGCCCCCAAAATATCTTTTTGAATATATATAAATAAATATATGCATATGTATAAAATTATGCATCATAAAGTATACATAAACAGAATCTTAGTTGTATTGAATATGAAATGCCCATCGCACAGCTGGCGTGGGAGTAAATCTCAACTGCATGAATCATACCTAGTGAGCAGGGTTTTTTTTTCCAATGGGTGCTACCAGCCCTATGGTGGACATGTCCTTGATGTTACATTAGGTAATGGAAACGGACTTTTGAATTAACCTAAATAGTTTTATGATACTGGATGTAATTTCTAAGTACTGTATACAATGGATAGGCTAATTTTTGTATGCAGTTCGTTAAATAATGTATATTTAAAGTAGTTGTGTATACACTGGTGATGCTTGTTTATTGTACTGTCAAGTGAGATTTAAGTCTCATTAGCACCTTTTTGTGAATTCAGTATTCAAGTTGGTTTCATTTATTGTACTCTGTTGTATTGGTAATGCTAGAGTGTTCCTTATTAGTTGTATTAAACTAAATAATGTGCTAATCCCTTGTGGGTTACTCAGCACAAGGAGTGCTAGGGACTTTAGCCTCTGGCCCTTAATTAGGGCCTTCTTGTTTAATATTTATATTGTCACTTTGCTGGTGCAGGGATGTGTTCAACAGTAGGTACTATACAAATTTTTGTTTCCTGACTTTTAAAAAATAATCTTTGTTATAGTTTCAAGTATTCAGTAAAGTTTAGAGAATTTACATAATGCAAAAGGTACCATACATATTCATGAATATGTTAACTATTTTTCATAGCCTAATAGTGTGTTTACATAGATACTTACTTGTGCATTCCTGTGTAAACTGTGTTACATATTTGCACTTATATAATGGTCAGCGTTGTATGACCCTTTTGGGTTTAGCGCAGTTATGATTATAATAATATAAAGTAAAAGGACACAAGTGCAACTAATGTGACATTTTATTGTGGCAACGTTTCACTCTCCAGGAGCTTTGTCAAGCCGAAAGCTCCTGGAGAGCGAAACGCTGCCACAATAAATGTCACATTAGTTGCACTTGTGTCCTTTTACTTTACATAGTCGGTAATTCTACCAACATTATTATGATTATAATAATAGAATGATGGTACAGTATTGCAATGTGTTTATTTTACTTGAGTGGAATGTAGCACATAAGTCTTCAATAAAGTGTTATATGTTTAATTTGTATTTAATTCCAAAACTGAAATGTTTTCATGTAATTCAAATGATCATGTAAAATTCTTGACAGTATCTTCTATGCATTTTTAAGTTGTCTGTAATGTAATTTGCCCATTTACATTAGTACTGTGTGTGTGCTAGTATAGTACTTTCCACCTAATGTGCTAGTGTAAGTACTTTACACCTAGAATGTGCTGGTGTGCTTACACCTAATATGTGCTAGTGTAAGTATGTCTCTTATGTGATGGTGCTATGGTGACTCGGGCAAAAGGTACTTGGTGTAACAGACACCACTGGCATCAGTGAAGGGCTCTTGATTCAGGGAATTAGAGCTATCCTCCCCTTCCTCAAGTCAAACCTGATTACTTCTCATTCCCAAACATTGTATGACTACCTACATGGCTGTATGACCCTCGTGGGTTTAGCACTTAGTTATGATTATAATAATTCTACCTCCATAATTTGAGAGCTCCTACAATCCCAATCACTTTTACCTCAATGATTTGAGAGGTTTCCCATAACCTGAGCCCCCGTTATCTCAGTGGCACACGAGATGCTCAGTAGTTGTACTTGAACCCTCGAGTGATAGAGGAGCTGCTGAAGTAATTCAGGGAGTAACTTTATACATAGAGTGTTACGCTGTATGACCCTTATGGTTTAGCGCTTCTTTTTGATTATAGTATACATGGAGTCATACTACAGTAACCATTGAGACTCGGCACTGTATGAGCCTTGTGGGCTGAGCGCTGTTATGATTGTAATAACCATATAGAATGAGAAATATCAGAGAACTTACTAAGAGAAATTAACCAATAACAAATCGAACATTCTAAGTAGGGTACTCAAATGGTAAAAGTTGGAAGCCTATCAGACGTATTCTGAAATTTTTGCTACTGTTTTCGTATATAAAGTTGGCAGATTAGCATCTAAACATCTCGATGACAATCTGCAGAACAGCCAAAGGTTTGAAGTCGATCAGAAGAGGTATTCTCAAGTTATAACCACACCCTGGAAAAAAAAAATCCGACAATCCCCACAGGTAACATGTTCTGCCAAACAAATACCCATCCCATCAGTCTGGGTGACAGTGTCTTGCATAAGTTTAGCAACACAGACACAACATTGCATCATACATCCCACTCTAAAAACAGCCTCCAACACCACCACCTCTTCTCCCTCTCAACCAGCGTTAGTAAGGTTTGTTAGTTGGCTCACAAAATATTTTAGATAAGCCATGCGAGGCTACTAAATCATAGAAATGACGTTAATTTAAATATAAGAATCTTTCAGAACATTGTAGATAATGTATATGAGGTCAGTCTGGGTCCACAGCACCACCCCCTCAAGGAAGGTTCCTTGATGTTGGTGAGGGGCTCTTGATTTAGGGAATTGGATCTGTGCTCCAGTTCCCCGAATTAAGCCTGAATGCCTTCCACATCCCCCCCCAGGCGCTGTATAATCCTCCGGGTTTAGCGCTTCCCCCTTGATTATAATAATAATAATAATCCACAGCACCAGCTTGGACTCGAGAGAAAGCTGATTTAGAAACTGCTGAGTACAGAAGCTTGCAATTAGTCCAGTTCCATTTGTGTCAGGGAACCTATAAGATGGTAGGCTTTTCTTATGGAAAATTACAAATTATAACCCCTCAAGGAAGGTTCCTTGATGTTGGTGAGGGGCTCTTGATTTAGGGAATTGGATCTGTGCTCCAGTTCCCCGAATTAAGCCTGAATGCCTTCCACATCCCCCCCCCAGGCGCTGTATAATCTCCGGGTTTAGCGCTCCCTTGATTTAATAATATAATACAGATTTAAATAATAAGGAAAAAACGTTAAAATCCCGAGCTTTCATTAGATACAAATCTTAGTGATCAGTGTTAAAGAAATGATAAAAATGGAAAAAGTCTAACCTGGATGTGATAAATTATAGGTAAAGATAATTATTGGTATTATTATTATTATTACATTCATGAGGAACGCGCTAAACCTACAGGGGTTATGCAGCAGCTAAGGATATTGGAGGCAATTAGGTTTGATTCAAGGAAGGAGCTGTCATGTCCAATTCCTAGGATCAAGAGCCCCTCACTAGCATCAAGGAACCTACCAAGAGTAGTAATTAGTAACAAAAATACAACAAAAGTCCTTAACCCGCAGGGGTTACAAAAACACCTGTCAGATGTAAGTGCAACATTGAAGGTGAAGCAACAGTATTGTGGATCTTGCAAGAGACTGAATCTGCAAAAAGCTACATGGATCAACATAGACAAGGAAGTACAATATTCAATCCTCGCAGCTGGCTTCTCCATATGTCTTCATAAACCAAGACAGCACTAGTGATGAGTCCAGCTGCCAGCTTAAGCCTGAAGGTACGTCTTTTCCTGGTAAGCTTTGAGATGACAGCTGGCAAATAATATCTTTATTTACTACCAGCACATGTACAAGAAAATATATTTTCATATAGTCGGGACTTAAGTCCTGGAAATGGGAAGTACAATGCCTGCACTTTAAAGGAGGGGTTTGGGATATTGGCAGTTTGGAGGGATATGTTGTGTATCTTTATATGTGTATGCTTCTAGACTGTTGTATTCTGAGCACCTCTGCAAAAACAGTGATAATGTGCGAGTGTGGTGAAAGTGTTGAATGATGATGAAAGTATTTTCTTTTTGGGGATTTTCTTTCTTTTTTGGGTCACCCTGCCTCGGTGGGAGACGGCCGACTTGTTGAAAAAAAAAACATGTACAAGGTATACAGACCATAGCTGACATCAATGACATACTACTATATATAAAGTCTCTTGTTATGCTGAGTATTTCCCGCAAATTAGGTCAGTTTTGTCCCAGGATGCGACCCACACCAGTCCACTAACACCCAGGTAACCATTTTATACTGATGAGTGAACATAGACAACCAGTGTAAGGAAACACGGCCGATGTTTCTACCCCTTCACCGGGAATCGAACCCGGACCCTCACCGTGTGAAGCGAGAGGCCACCAGGCCACGGGACACCGTAGAGCAATATAACCAGGTACATAAGCCAATGTGTACTACACTACTAATCAGGTATATTCCCATGACTTCAGTAATTCTTCCATAACTAAGATGATACATCTTCAGGAGGTACTGAGGTACTCTCACCCTCTCACCACAGAAATAAAATAGAGAAAAATCACTTTCTTACGCTAATCTATTAATTAAAAGCTACAATGATAAGATGAGGGGCAAATATAGTGGAGCTGCTTTATCTAGATTATTATTATTATTATAATCAAGGGGGAAGCGCTAAACCCGGAGGATTATACAGCACCTGGGGGGGGGGGATGTGGAAGGAATTCAGGCTTAATTCGGGGAACTGGAGCACAGATCTAATTCCCTAAATCAAGAGCCCCTCACCAACATCAAGGAACCTTCCTTGAGGGGTGCTTTATCTAGAGAAATTATAGTTAATCCTAATCGCCGCCAAAGAATAAATACAGTCAAGTAATGGAAGATAGTTTTATATTTACGTGGACTGGATGTGGCAGCTGTAGGTGAAGTTGATGGCCATCATCACCATCACTGAAGTAAGGAAAACTAAAAGGACTGAAACTAAGGGGTAAAATTAACGTTCTCAGCTGAATGTCCGCGGTTCGATCCCCGGCACAGGTGGAAACGTTGAGCATGGCTCCTTACACCAGCTGTCACAGTTTACCTAACAGCAAGTAGGTACCTATTGTGAGTCTAGGGTTGGGCTGTGAAATTGTCTGACCTAGAATAACAGTTCTTAACCTGTAAAACTGATCTTTTTAAAAATAAAACTCAATTGAGCTCGTGGCCACAGTGAAGAAAACTTCCACAATTAATTCACAGGTCCATACATTAATTTATAATGAATTTATACTTTGTACTTACAAATTGAAAGGATTGAACAAGAACAGATCAAAAGAATTTAACATAACCTTGGAAGAGAAATCCAGTGGAGATATGATAATGACGTAATGTTACCCAGAGGTTGTGATGGAGCATTGACAAAGTGAAATACGAGGCACAGGAGCAAGAAGGTATATGTGAAAGGTAAGAATACAGCTGTTAGGAAATACTTCTTGAGTATTCAGGTGATAATGAAGTGGCTGATGAGGTGAAAACAGACTCCAATTTCAGGTTATATTTGATAGGACCCAGATATAGGACAAGGAACTAATCTGGAGGCCTGGTCAAGGACCGGGCCAGGGGGCGTTGACCCCCGGAACTCCATCCAGGTATGTAGACTCTCAACTTCAACAGATGACTGAGTACAACTCAAAGAGTACTTTACTGTGATGATAGATTTAGCCCAGATTTTAGTAGCCGACTGAAAGAATAAGCAACCTGTTTGACGGCCTAAATAGATGGAAAAATTTCTTAGTTCAAAATTTTCTGTGATTTATATTTACGACTTTGAACAAAGTATAGATGTGGGTTGGTTGCCACTAAGGGACTTAAAAAATTACCTTATAATTAATATTTGTACTTTAGCAGCATATTAGTCACAACAGCAAATTATTATAGATGAAAAAAATAATAATAGAAACGAGTTAATAATACTATAACCCCCTGAGAGGGTTACCTTGATGCTGGTGACGGGCTCTTGATACAAGGCACTGGAGTTAGCCTTGTTTTCACTGTCTCAAACCTCATAACTTCTAATTTCACAAGGCACTGTGACCCCTGTGGGGTCACTATCAGTTTGAAAGCAGTGAATTTTATTATTATTATTATTATAATCAAGGGGGAAGCGCTAAACCCGGAGGATTATACAGCGCCTAGGGGGGATGTGGAAGGCATTCAGGCTTAATTCGGGGAACTGGAGCACAGATCCAATTCCCTAAATCAAGAGCCCCTCACCAACATCAAGGAACCTTCCTTCAGGGGTGAAAGCAGTGAATAAGTGGAGTGTTGTAGTGTATCCTACAAGTGAGGCTACAACACCCGGGTGATGTAAGCTTGGCCAGTGTTGCATCATGAAGCAAGATGTAGTAAGCAGCCAAT